TATCAATTAATTAGAAAATATAACTGTAAGACTTTTCCTTTATTTAATTAAATTATTTTGATACGAATTTGAGTTCTCAATGTTCTTATAATTGAATAGGATACACACATGCATGTCTGTGTGCTGCTGGCAGGTTCGCCAACCATTTTTGAGTCATCCTCAAAGTTAAAAGGTGAAGCATCATGATACAGAAAACAATGTAATAAATAGTTATCTTATTCACTATTTGTTACTTACAACGACCTTTTTTACTCGCTTTCCAAGGACTTTCTCGCACCATTGAGCAAGGTCTTTAGCTTCTTGTGTGGTTAGGAACACATTTTCCTTATCGTCAATATTATTGCTTTTAGTTTCTGAATCACTATTAGGAAGCTGAGTCGACTCTGGTGAATCCTCAGCCAAAGCATTCTCGACGGAAACCAATTTTTTCTTGGCAAATTCTCCGAGCTGCATTAGCACAAGTTCATCATGAGCTTCATAAAGGAAGATAACCTAGAAACAGATCAAACTCAATGGGATGACAAAATATATAAGGATATATTAATAAAGAATCCTTGAGTAAAATTACCTCAATTCCAGGTTTTTTCTGCCGAAGAGCCTCAAGGTAAGGGGAGGATTCTGCAAGCTGTCTATTGGGAGCACTTAGGTAATAGATAATTCGACTTCCTGCGTCCATTCGAGTTCCATACTCCTCCAAGGTTGTGAATTGGCCCTTAGGCAGTGAACTAGTCTCATATAAAAGCAATTTGGCTATCTCCTCCCTAATTGACTGCTCATTCTCCAGAACAATTCCCTCTTTTAAATACAAATTGAAGTCATTGTAAAACAGGGCGAATTTTGCCTTATCTTTATTTGCCTCCATCTGACGGAAAAGAAGAGTAGAGATAAATTTTAAATTGTTACAATTAAATAATTTGAGAACTTAATGCTTACTGAAAGGAATCTCAGTGCTCTAGTAGTGAGAAGTCGATTAATACGGTGAATTAGAGCATGGTCCTGCAAAAGCTCACGGCTAAGATTAAGGGGGATGTCCTCGCTATCCACAATTCCTCTGATGAAACGTAGCCATTTCGGGAGAATGTTTGGAGCTTTGTTGAGAATAAGAACCTGAGTAAATTTAAAGTAACAGATAAAAATGATACAGAAAACGAATCAAAATATTTATAAGTGTAGCGAGAAGACGGTAAGTTTGCAAACATTACATATAATATGCCTCAAAATAATAAACTATGAATATTATGAGCTAAGGCATTCAAAATACGGATGTTTTCCTATGAGTAAGTATTTTAGACAAAAAAGTAATGAAAAACATTTTTTTTGTCAATAAGAGAATATACAAAAAGAATATCTTACCTTCTTGCTGTAGAGAGAAATTCCAGAGTCTACATCTTTTGCCATATCAAAAATGGAGGGTTTTATAGATGGAATATAAAGAAGAGCGCGCAAGTTTATTGGAGCATCTGCCCTGTATAACAAAGAATAACGAGGCGTATCATAAGTATTACTGCAGATAAATTGATAGAAGCCAACATGATCATCATCAGTGACCTAAAATATTAAAATGACGAAGATATAAACAATGTGCAAGCAATGAATCAAAATGTAAGGTTACTACGAATTTACCAGTGAGGGATCTTTAAGCCAAATAGGCTGAAAAAGATTAATGCGCTCTCCATTCAGGAAAATAGGCGTAGAGAT